CAGGCTTGGTCCGCACCAGCCGCGATTGTCCAGTACTCCATCATCTCAGAAAAATGCAGAACAGCCAACGAGGCTCTCTCGAACGATTTTCGTTCCAAGTACCGAGAGCTGACTTTGCTCTGCAAAATAGTGAACGCCTTACTTCTCGCAATACCCTTCCTCCATTCTGCTTCCAGAAAGCTGCGATACAAAACGAAACTCCTCTAACTTTTCGAACACTAAATAATCTGCCTTCATTTTCTGGTATCTAAAAAGCTCACAAAGCTACGGGAAAATAATATCTGTTGATATTCCAGCAAATCGCCGACCAGTGTGTATTTTGGTAGCCAATCGCCATACCCAGTTGCTTTCATTCCTGTTACCAATCTCTATCGGTTTCTGCTATCTTCTTGAAATCACCATACATCGATTCAGGTATGAGCATTGACCATGTTTCAATAGACATTCTACCAATTAGAAGATATGATGTTATCACCCAGAAGAACCTGCTATGAGCATGAGTTGCTCGTTTTGCAGTAGATTTATGGAACTTTCCGTGACAGTGCCCTATAAACTAACCTGGGACTAGCAGCCAGTGCCCTTCTACCCAGCATCTTCATCCAAAGGCTTTTCTTGATAGAATTGGCTCGAGGGCTGCTCCAATAGAATTTACCCGAGGGTCGTTTTAATAGAATGGACCAGAGGGCTGACAGATGTGGCAGGCAGCAAGCAGCACTGCTGCGACACACGGCATAGGTGGTCGAATCAGGAGAACCAAGCGGTACTCTCATAGGGAGTCGACCCGGCACCCCTGAAAAGGAGACTAGTAACGCGGACAACGGTCATCTTTGCATGTAATTATGTGATCAATAGGTTTCTGAGTGGAAGACGGGTAGTTGGCGCATCGAACGCTGGCAGCAACACTTTATCCTCGGGTTCTTTCGCCGACATTATCCCCAAACTTTCTAGTATTTTTACCAGAAAGGGCGAGGTAGAGATGTGCTAGCTGAAGGTACATGAAGCTGATGGAACCATTCTGAAACCAAACCCTGAAGCAAGTCGCGGTGGCACGTAGAAAGAACCAGGGCCAATGATAGTCGTCGGGTTAGATATATGGTCAAACGCTTTACAGTCAACTAGGTGATTGGACCTAGTAACGTGAATCAGGACTGCGGTCAATAAGCACGAAGCCCTAATTCAGCAGCTGGTGGGTACGCTGTATCGCACAGTTACCAGAAGCTGAAGCAAGCTCTTATCTTAGGAAGGGAAAAACTTGTGTACTTTGGTTCCATTGGGCAAAAGTCGTGCAGCGATAAGTGGCGTCGTTCAAACGCGTGGTAACCAAACGAACCGCATTTCGCACACAAGTCAGAAGTTCCATCCTTTCGGGCCGGCGACTAGGTATGAGACTCTGGTGGGAGGATAAAAGAGTTCCTTGGGTATCGGCAAACCCTCACAGGCAGACGTGTAAGCCACGTCGCATTTGAATGCACACCACGATTCGGACCGAAGTGGAGGATATGGCGCATCCCAAAGGCTGCAATCAACACCGGATGCTTTCCAACCTTTCATAGATCTGCCAGAGGGTTCACCGATCCACAGCACTGTGCGGTTTTAAATTCTAACTAAAGCTAATTCGACTTTGTTTCAGGAACGAACGCACTTGGTAGGCACTCCTTCCAGAATAATTAAAACAAGTATTGGGCTTCTGATCTTCATTTAAATATCATGCATTTAATTAACATGCCGTGTACATTAACGTATGAAACGAAAGATGAAATCAAAAATAAACAACTATGCAATGAGAAATCGACTATGAAGATGTTAGCAGATCCGCGGCGCGATATCATCACCACGATGGCATCACTGATCGTCTTACATAATCTAACATGATAAGATGTGTGCATGGCGCACACCTTAAATTAAGCATTAAACAAACAATTGGAGAATTCGCAAATAACTGAACATATCACAGGTTTTCGTATACTTTTCTTACATATCAACACGTGTGCTGTGAGAAAGAAGAGCTGGATAGCGATGGTGCTTTTGATGGCAAGCGATGACGACAAGCGTCGTCACCGTTTTTGCTAATAAACAAAGAAAAAAAGAAAGAAAACAAAAACAGTAAACACCGAAAGTGAGAGATTCCTGACAAATATATATGTGATTACTATAGCAATGAAATGGCAATTCTACAGAGTTGTTTCTGTAGTCGGCAATTTATGCACGACTTCTGAAACATCTTTGGAGTGCTACGAGATCGGAATGGTGGGTGCGTTATTTTTGATCGGACCCGTCGTTCCCAGGGTCCAGCCTTGGGGACGATGGTTCACAATCAAAACACGCAGTTACAAATTCTTTTGCACTACCACGTTTTTTTCTGAAGGACTTAGCAGGCAACATAGAGCGGTCTGCAGGATTGGCGCAGACTGAATGACGAGAGCGATCACACACACACAACGACGACGACCATCAGTTCTTCTCATTGAGGTGACGTCGTCGGACTGTCGTTCGGTTTTCGTGTCTTGTACGTCTTCGGCGGCAACGGTGGCGGTGTGTCCGGTGATGAAGGTGGCACAGTCGCACGTTGTAATGACGGGCTGCTGGTCATACGCCTGAACAAACAACATAACATAACAATACCGTATAGGATATATAATTTCCATAGAATTACCAATATATCGATTAAACTTACGTTTTCGGCGGCAAAGGAGGCGGAGTTTGCTGAGCTGCAGTACCACGACGAGGCGGTAATGCTGGCGGTAATGGCACGGATAAACGAACTGTTGGTGAATTAGACTCGCTGGACGGTCTAAATGAGATAAATAAATTGAACAGCCTAAATGCGAAGGACAATGATTGATTAAATATCGTTTTATGGCGCTATCGCAAGATACGGGGGCATTCTGCAGAACTAAGCCCAGGAGGGAGCAGGAACATTGGGGAATCGAAAAAAATGCTCACGCAATCTGGAGCCTCTCCTCCTCCACCGAGGGTTCATCCCGTTCCTGACGAAGGGAGATGTTTAAAATGCATTGCCACAAATGTCCCCCTATCTTGCGATAGCGCCTACTTTATTGTTATGTGACCTATGAGGATGAGGTTTAGCCGCTAAGAGGCGCCGCTAGCACGCCCTTTCGCAGGGTGTGACATCCCGTAGCCTTGAACCCTGCCCAGGTTAACCCAATGTTGGATACCTGGATCAGTCATCTGGCACCAATAACCTGACAGAAATTAAAACCCCAACTCATACCTCGGATGGGCCCCGTCAAGCTATAGCACGAGCCGGACCTTTCAGAGAAATATCACCCAAGCATTCGAATGCCACCAAGATCATGGACGGAAGTACGATGTCTGGCGCACTCCAAAAAGACCTACGCCCAATAATTCCGCCACCTAGCTTTATAGTGAATTCCAACAAAATCAACTTGGAAAAACTTAAAAGATCCAATGTATTTGACAATTATTGAACCAACTTACTAAAACGCGATAATCGGATAATTCCCGAATATGACATCAATCAATCAATAATTCCAAAGGAAATAAAAATCAATGGATTGACTTACCTATCAAGCACAACTCGAAGTTGCTCATTATTTGACATGGCGGCAGGTGTAGTAGTCGCCGACAAGCGTGGAGGAAGTGCAGGCGGTGGCGAATGTTGCGCGTCCACAGACGGAAACACGAAGGCGGACGGTGTGTGGTCTACAAAACATCAACGATATTAAGAAGGGTTCACTTTTCGCAACCACCAGTTAGCGCAAAAAGGTAACGGTTTTTTATTATTAACTTCACCATAAAGAATGGAACAGGGGTAGAATGAGTCAGAGCATTCCAAATAACCTTAATAAGAAAAGGGTCGTGGATCCCCCCCTTACATTTTTCAATAGTAGCGCGGATTCTCGTCATGCGCAAATTAAGGGACACCGCAATACTCCTGAGTTCCTTACTGACATAAAACCGAAGAGGTAATGGAGCTGAACTGGAGATTGTGCGCGATCTCAAGAGCATTTCAGAAGAACTCTGACCAACCTGCAGATAGACGACCAGGTGTCTGAGGCGATCGATTTGAAGGGGACGAGTCACCGGTGGTGGCCTTCGAGGATGAAGCGGTGGTGCCGTAGAAGGTGTGGTTGACACAGCAGCCGGCAGCACCGTTGTGGTCGTGGCGGATCTTTGCGCTTTACGTGGAACTAACGGAGGTGGTTGTAACTGGCCTGAAAATTAATATTTTTTTTAAATCCTCACACATTCGAAGGATAAGCCATCATAACGAAGAGCAACTGTAATTATTCACGTAAAAGATCCTGTAGACTCTACGTAGAAAGAGAAGTTCGACTTTGCGCAACGTTCAAAGGAGCTCACCTATTTTGTGCGTTCGTCTTGGCACATCTCCAATGAATTTCGGATGCTGACCAGGAGTGATATCGACCAAAGAGAAATGCGCGTCGTCAGCGTCAGGAGGCGTCGAGACTGGGGGTCGCGGCCTGAAAAAACTAATTCAATCCATTGAAAACACACAGTACTTGACCCATTCAATCAAGTACTCTTATAATAAGTAGTTCAACTAGTCCACAATTCAGTTTTCGTGACCAAAAATTAATTTAGGGGATAGCCCAATTAAAAACTAGGATCACTGAAGCACGAAGGACATGGCTAAGCATCTCGCGATAGCGCCTTGGTACCTAATTATAATACCAACGGCGCTATCGCAAGAATGTAGGGGCATTGTAGTGGAATGTTCTGCACAAAGCGCGTGAAATATCCTTTTTGTAAGCGAAACTAACCATAAGCCTGAGTGGGGAGAAGAGGTTCGGGGTGCAGGAGCAGTTTTCATTTTCCCCGAAATTCCTGCCATTCTACTCTCAGTCTTAGAGGA